CATTTAAAGTACATAAATAAGGTTTTTAATTACTTTATTAAACCAAGGGTTATTCCTTCACTTTGTGACTTTATTTTTTAGTGGCACAAACTTCTTAAAAGTGTATTTTATGGTCACATACATTTAATTCAAGTTCCAGAGCTCGATAGTCAATATTTTTATAGTCTCAATATTTAAATTAAGGTCAAAAGTACGAAATATAAGGTCATGTTTTGATGAAGCTGGTTCCTGGTCATAAAGTAAAATCTTGTTTGGGCCATTAATGAGGAATAGGTCAACAAGGGTATCATAGGTGTTGCTAAAATGTGTGGGTATCGTTACTTTTAAAGGAAAAATACCTATAGACTCAAAATCCTCAAGTAGATTATTTTCCTTTAAGAGGTGGCTATTAAAGTCACCTGCTAGGATAATCTCAACATAAATCCGCAATGGAATCAGGGACGAATTCGTATGGTATTGTACAGTTCGGTCGATAGATTTTCGTATTACATATGCCAGATATTTGCACTAGTAAAAATTCTATTGGACTATCATTTGAATATTTCGACTTTGTTTTACTTTTCAGTTTTTATTAACATAGATCGCGACATTACCCGCATGACTAGCACGATAAACATCATAGGTATCACACATAATTGACGAGTCGCATTTTTCAGACGTAAACCAGGTTTCTGACACATTTATGACATCCAAATTTGTCTAAATAAAATTGACCATAACTCATAAATTATTTAATAAGCTTTGTGCATTGATATGAGCAATTTTAAGCCATTTTTGAAATTGCAAATTACTTTTATCAAGCTACCAGGCATATTTGGGGCGCAAGCTCAATTTTTGGATTTTTAAAAATGTTTTCAAAGAACAGAAGAAGATAATAAAGGTATCTTAACTAGAGATTCGAAGAGAGTATATTCAAAGTAATCAAGTGCGAAAGCTATCATCTGCAGATGAGGTGGTCTCTCTCCCCACCGAAGCGTGAGTATAAGCAGTATTTGAAGAGGTGGTGAGAGGATCGGCGTGCATCAAAGAAAGCTCTTCTATCGTCTCGACGCAGTGAACGTCCTCTTTACCAGTGCAACGAACATGCACAAAACCGCGACGTGTAAATATAGCAGAGAGCAGTCGACGCTTCTTCATTTGTATCTCATCTTTAAATATTTTGTAATTTTCTTTAGAGAGCTTCTGATCCGAAGCCCTAAAGCTGCAAGCGCCGGTTCAACCCAATTTTAGTAAACAGTGATATCTTCTCGTGGACGTTTTCAAATTTGATAATAATCAACGGCCGACGAGGGTGTTTTGTGTTTTACGGCATATGGCACACCATGCATACGCACGTCGTAAGAGATGATGGTAATGTTTTGAGCCGACAGCTTCGCTTCTAGTCCACACATTTTTTCACCCAATGCATGCAAGGTAGCCATCTCCTGATTCAGCTGGTCGACCCGCTCACCCACCGTATCCCGTTCAGAGCGAAGATCAAGTACCTCGCGTTCTAGGCCTATGTTTCGTCAGCCCATCTTCTTGACATCTCCGGCGATCATGTCCATCCGCCTTTCAATACTGGAGAGTATGCGTTTTTCCGCTTCATGGACATGTGTCGCGATTTGGTTGGTTTGCTCTTGAAGATGATTCTTAAGAAGCTCCAACAGTTGGGGCGAGGGGGCGGCCGAAAGGCGTTCACTGGCAAGCCAAGCTGTACGGGTGCGCTTACTCGGCTGCGCCGTAGTATGAGGAGGCATTGGTTATTTATTTTATTTTGTTTAGTTTTGTAAAGTGTTTTTATTTATGTTTTGAAACGGGTTTATATGTTTGTTTTGTAACGTGTTTATATGCTTATTTTGTAACGCGTTTATATTTTTGTTTTGCAGTGTAGTTTTAGATTACAGTTATTGAATTGTGAATTTTAAGAGTGCACTTGAAAAATAAACTGTGTTAGTGTGTGGGTACCGGTGCACTGTATGCGTTAGATGTTTGATAGAAGCAGAACCCGCAAACAAAAACAAAACACACAGCGGCTGTGAAAATAACTTTAAACAGTTATTTTATTTAATATATTGTTTAAAATTGGGGACCTTGCTGTTTTATAGATAGTTTCGACCGTAAAGGTGTTTTATCCGAATAAAATATCGACAACTTTAACGAGAAAGCAATTAAATATACGTCTGCTAACAGTGATTTTTTTTATTGTTCTTAATATGCGTTAATATGCGTTAAATGTTACATGTTACATACAATTACGAAATTTAATAGGAATAAATAACAACTTCGTTGTTTTTAACAAATACATTTTTCTATCTTTCTTGAACCCTTACATTACATGTATAGCATGGGTGCAACATAAATCGAGCGCTGTCCAATCGTTTATTTATCCTCAAAGTTAAAATTACAAAAAGTGTCAATTAAATCAAATTTAGTTAAATTTTTTGAATTTCAGTCCCATTAGTGGTATATAAGTTTTTAGGGCCCAAAATGACATTGGCTTACTGCCAAAATTGCCATTATGAAAGGGTCAATTCGTGGAACGTGTTCCTAAAAAGATGAGGCAATTTCAATTTTAAAAAATTTATGCATGTATTACAAATTTTCTCAAAAATGGCCTAAGCCCAAAAGAAACGTAACTCTTTTATTCTTGGCTAAGCTCGCACTTAAAGGTTACTATTAAACTAAGCTGTTGAGAGCGGTTGGGTGATCCTATACATCACAAAAGTATTGATCGCAAAAAAACAGACTATCTTGCAATTTGGCGATTTGGAGGAAAATTAGGTCAAATATAATCTTTTCAGAAGTTCAAGAGATATTCTGCTGAAAAATGAGTATAATTAAGTCCAATATTATCATATTAATTAAAACGATGTTATAAATTTCAATATTTTCAATTTTTTGTACACTTTTATGAACACTACTCCTGCATTTGTTTAAAAAAACTTAGACAAAGGAAACAAACTTTGACATCTTAAACAAGAAAGGAAGCAAACTTCGGCAAGCCGAAGTTTATATACCCTTGCAGCTATTTCAAAAACTAAATACTCTTTAAAACGTTTAAATTATGATTTACTTGCGTGTATGTTTAAAAACATTGAAGCTATGATGATTTGCAGCTTAATTATTCGATAGTTCCTATGGCAGCTATATGATTGGTTCCTATGCGAGCTATATGCTATAGTCGTCCGATTTTGATGAAATTTAAACCATAACTCTGAAATATTTAACCATTATTATATCTCGAAGAACTAAAAAAAAAAATGAAAAACAACAAAGTTATAATTTTTTTTATTTTTTTTATGATTGTTCCTATGGGAGCTATATGCTATAGTCGTCCGATTTTGATGAAATTTAAACCGTAGTTCGGAAGTTTTTAACCATTACTAAATGTCGAAGAACTAAACAAAAAATTAAAAAACACCAAAGCTATAATTTTTTTTCATATATTTTTCAAATTGTTCCTATGGGAGCTATATGCTATAGTCGTCCGATTTTGATGAAATTTAAACCGTAATTCAGAAATATTTAACCATTACTAAATGTCGAAGAACTAAACAAAAAATTAAAAAACAGCAAAGTTATAATTTTTTTTCATTTATTTTTCCGATTGTTCCTATGGGAGCTATATGCTATAGTCGTCCACTTGTCCGTCCGTTTCTACGCAAACTAGTCTCTCAGTTTTAAAGCTATCTGCATGAAACTTACCCAAAAGTTGTCTGTCTATTGCAGGTAGTATAAAAGTCGGAACGAGACGGATCGGACTACTATAGCATACAAATATATAAATGAAAAAAAAATATAACTTTGCTGTTTTTTTTAATTTTTTTTTAGTTCTTCGACATATAGTAATGGTTAAATAATTCAGAATTACGGTTTAATTTCATCAAAATCAGACGACTATATCATATAGCTCCCTTAGGAACAATCGGAAAAAATACAAAAAAAATTATAACTTTGCTGTTTTTTAATTTTCTTTTTAGTTCTTCGACTTATAGTAATGGTTAAATATTTTAGAATTACGGTTTAAATTTCAATAAAATCGGACGACTATATCAACCAGCTCCCATAGAAATAATACAAATATATAAAATAACTATCTAATAATTGAGCTGCAAATCATCATAGCTTCAATGTTTTTAAACATATACGCAAGTAAATCATAATTTTAATGTTTTCAAAAATATTTTATTCTTGCAATAGCTGCAAGGGTATATGAACTTCGGCTTGCCGAAGTTTGCTTCCTTTCTTGTTTTTGTAATATTTTACCAATTTGTTTACAATAAATAAAAAAATATATAAATTCTTAATATAAAATAAAAAACAGATACCGAAAATGTTACGTTGTTCTTAAGTTATTAATTAATGCCACAAAATGCAATGGACCGAAAAGCGCTTGGTGGAAGATATCCATTTTTATCGAAAAATCAAATTTTGAGATGAAGGTCATATTTACCTCGGTGGTTACGTAAATAAATAGAATTTCCACATTTGAGATCCGAAAATCCTCACGTCTTCTTGGAGTATATCCTCCCTTTTCTTTCTAACCATTTTAAACGCAAATTTTTTGTGGGCCACCCTGAATACTTTGTAAAATATGATGGACCTCTTACCTTACCTAATAGTTGATTGATTTCGATTTTACATTTTAACAAACATTAATTATTAATTTAGCATGGTGGTGGCAGTGCTGGTTTTTGCTTTAGTTTCAACATTATTCTTTTAAAATAAAATATCCCGTTTTTATTTTTTTTTACCCAAATATTGAGATTTTTGGCACCTTTACCTGCAATATATGCAAATATGTTTCACCTTACCTAAATACAAAATAATAATTCCCAAACACTGCGAATGGCATTTTATTTCGAATAAAGCCAACCTCGGTCTCCACAAGAATATAATTATTTTTATTATTATTATTTTTAGCTCATATATCTCAAAAGTAATAAATATTTATGTTTTTTTTGTATTATTAAATATTTTTTCAAAATTCGTAAATATTAATTTTAAACGCTACATACCTGAAAATGAAATGATTGTGTTGACATCAACAGGATGCACAGGCTCACCATCGGTTGCTATTACTGTCATGCCGTGCCCCTCAATCGTCACTTGTGCTGGACATACTGAAGCAAATGCATTTATCATCCGAAAGCGGTATCGACGGCCTGGTGTAATTGTGAATATTTCTAATGGAGTATTAGTCATGAAGCCAGTGTTTGGGTCGCGAAACTGGCCCTTGCCATTGATCAGCATTGATTCTGGATCTTGGCCTGTGTTTACTGCCAGGCGTCCAGGATACCGCTCTGCAGCATCTTCGTGCAACCAGTCACTGATAAGCATGATATGAGTTGTTAAATCAAAATCATATAAGTGAGAATTTGGGTCTCTTGATGGTGGTTGGCGAACGACGACGCTACCGTAAAGTCCATCTAGTTTCTGTAGACCTGTATGAGCGTGCCAAAAATGTGTCCCGGCGTTGCCTGTCCATTGATAACGGAAGGTATTACCTTGCTGAATGGGACACTGAGTAACGAAGGGTACACCGTCGTAATACTGTGAACCACGTTGCCATATACCGTGCCAGTGAATAGTTACTTCCATTCCCTCCATGTGGTTCTCCACATCAATGACAACCTTATCGTTCTCGCATACCTGAATACTAGGGCCAGGAATCATACGATTTGCAGTCAGAATTCCGCGCTCTACTCCGTCAGCTAAGACACACTGGCAATGACTCCAAACCGTATTCGTTGCGTTTGGAGTGCATACCTGGCAAGCACTAAATATATAAAAGGAGTAAAAGATGTAGTAAAAGAACAAGGGATGATTAAAAAAAATTATAAATATGTTTTCAAAAACAAATTTAAAAATTATTCGTAGTTATTCGTAAAAAGCTAGCCATCAATTTTAATCTTGATAAAAGCAAAAAATAAACAATATCTTACAATTTTAAAAATAAAACCAATTTTGAATTTGGATTTTATATTTATATTATTATTTATATTTAATAACATATATACAGTTATATGCGTTTTTATAAGTTTGCTGTTTTTTAATTTTTTTTTGTTCTTCGTCAATAGTAATGGTTTAGTATTTTAGAATTACGGCTTAAATGTCATTCAAATCAAACGACTATTACATAAAACTTCGATGAGAACATAAAAGTATATAATTTTTTTTTTTTTAATTTAACACTTTTTCTATTTTGTAATTTTTTTTTAAATTCTTGTTGACTTATTAATAATTTGACGAAAACGATATAATGTAGCTGCCCTAGGAACTATCGAATAATTGAGCTGCAAATCATCATAGCTTTAATGTTTTTAAACATATACGCAAGTAAATCATAATTTCAATGTTTTCAAGAAAATTTAATTTTTGCAATAGCTGCTGCAAGGGTATATAACTTCGGCTTACCGAAGTTTGTTTCCATTCTTGCTTTTCATGTAATGCCTTTCATTTATGTTATTATGTTTTTAATAGTCACCCTAATTTTAAAATTAGCTCCTTGATTCAAAAAATTATACTCCAAATTTGTTGTATGGTACTATTTTTTTTAACGTGGAAAAAACGTTTTTACCCTTTTTAAGCCAATTTTTTTTTATCTGAAGATCCGACAACATAAATTAATTCTTAAAAAATACACGCCTGAAAATCGAAAATAATTTCATAACTTTATCTGGAAGATGGATCATTCACAAATCTAACAAGCTAACTTATTAGATTTGTGATTCTGCGTACGCCACTATGATTTTTGATGGACGGTGGATGGAGGAAGGTGGCTCTGTGGGAACATACATAAGTCCACCATCCATCAAAAATCTCAACCGTTTTGCTTGGACGGGCTCAGTAGGACTGGGATATAGAACAATTTGGCTTAGGAACCTAAATAATTTTTTGAAATCAGCCATTACAGTGCTACATTCAGGTTATTTTTTTTTTTTTAAACTATCTTTTTTATTTAATTCAATAATAAAACATTTTACTTTTTGGGGAGAGTGGATGCACACTAAAATTTGGGCGGGCAATTTTTTGATTTGAGGTTGATGCTTTTGGTTTGATTACTTTTCAAGACACAGAACAACGGTGCTTCGGCTTACTCATAAACACATATCGGAAAAAGTATTATAATCGAAAGGAAAGTACTTCTTATACCCGTGCAAAATGTTGCCACTAGAGAAGGTACTACTGTTGGCAAAAAGGAAGGTAAATTAGTGCACATAGGTTTTGCATAGGTAGGTAGAGATTGGGAAAAAATCGATGTCTAATAGCCTATTTTCGCAGAGATCCATCCACCTTCCGCCATCCGTTGAAGGTCCATAAGGTTTTGCCGTTCCAAAAACTTCCCAGTTAGCCCGCCGTTAAAATTTGACGGACTTTGATGGACTAATTTATGCGATAGTTAGTCTATGTTTTTGCAATGCAGCCCTGTTCCAACGCAGTCCAAACTCGGATTTCCATAGAGCACATCAACCTTCCACCATCCGATTTCAGTTGATCTGAACAGCTGTGGCTTATGAAAACATGAACAAAGATGGTTGACCTGTTGACTTTGTTTACGTTTTAACGAGCTACAGCTGTTCAGATCAGCTGAAATCGAAAGGTTGAAGGTTGATGTGCTCTGCGGAAATCGGAGTTTCACATTTGTTGAAAATTCTAATTTCAACGGATGGACTGTGTGAAAAGATGGCATAAGAACTACAAGCAATAACAAAAACCAAAAACGCTGTGCGTCAACAACATAAGTGAATTCATTATGGACGAGTAGTTATTAATAGAGGCGCTATTTGCTCTGCCGCTCTCTTGAGTGACTTTTTCAGTGATGGCACGTAGATAAAATAAGGAAAAAATTAATTTCCTTACGGTTCGATTCGAACTTGTATTATGCAGCTGAACTGCATTGCAAGTTAAAGAGCGCGTTCCATAAAAAAAGCTTCTATCATGCATGCTTTGCAAGCGAAAAAGAATGTAAGAAGCTATAAAGAAGCATTGTTTATGCATTCTCAAGAGTTTTTGTGAAATCGTCGCTTCTACTATAAATCATAAAAAAACCTTCTATTGCAATGTAAACAAAAACTGAAACCCGAACGCTGCCGATCGTCCGATATTTTTGAGATCGTGTTTTTCAACGAAAACTTCGCTTAAAAAAGTCTTGTTTTGGAATGGACAAAAAAATGGGAAATATATTCACATTTTATCTTTAAAAAAATATCTGAACGCTTTGTTAGGTTGGTGGTAAATGACTTGTTAAAATTTTCCTAAAATTAATTCTGTAATAAATATTAATATTTAATTTTATTAATAATAATATTGAATGTATTTTATATTATATTAGAAAATTATTAATTTGAAGCAGTTTTTTATATATTTTAATTTTAGGTAATAATATATACACGATTACATGATTTCTTTCCAAAGCGTAATTTTGTTTTGAATCATTGTTTTACATTTGCCGGTGCTATACTTTCCTCCGTCACTGTAAACGACAAGAACAAAAGGAAAAATGCAAGAAAACGCGCGGTCTTTTTCAGTTCTTTTGCATTTCCCGCCACTTCGCGTTTTGATTTTCTTGGAGACAATCTCGTGTGCTGCGTTTTAAATAACAATTAAAATCGCTGCCTTTGAAATTTTCAAGTAAGTACAGTGTTGATATAAACAAACTATAAAGAAAAAGGAGTTCCAATACTGGAACACTGGATTAATTAAAACAATATATGAAGTGTACTTATTCAATTTAAAAACACTTATAACAATCGAAAAAACATGAACAAAAACTGGACTAATTTAAAACAAGAAAGGAAGCAACCTTTTCAAACATTCTTAAAAACATAAAACTTATGATTTACTTGCGTATATGTTTAAAAACTTGAAGTTATGATGATTTGCAGCTCAATTATTCGATAGTTCCATAGCAGCTATATGTTATCGTTTTTCGATTTTAATAAAATTAAAAGCGTAATTCTGACTGCCAAATTATTAATAAGTCAAAAAGAATAAAAAAAAAGAAAATTGCAAATATAAATGTTACATTTAAAAAAAAAAATGTAATATTTTTATTGTTTCCATGGAAGCTTTAAGTTATAGTCGTCCGATTTTGATGATATTTTAACCGTAATTCTAAAATATTTAACCATTACTATGTCAAAGAAGCCAAAAAAAAAACTAAAAAACAGCAAAGTTATTTTTTTTTTCATTTATATATTTATATGCTATAGTCGTCCGATTCGGCTCGTTCCGACATATGTACTACCTGCAATAGAAAGACAACTTTTGGGAAAGTTTCATGCAGATTGCTTAAAATCTGAGATACTAGTTCGAGTTAGAAAACCTATTTCAAAACAGAAGGTAATTATATATATTTCATAAATTAAACTTTTGTGTTTTGTGAACTCGGTACGTTTATTTGTGTGCTCTCATTTTTCTCCCTTACATCTAAATCTATATTTTCCAGGTTTCAATATGCTTAGCTCTTTTGGAGGACAATTTGCCAAGGAATATTAGTAAGGTATTAAGTCCCAGTTTAATAATGGAGCTAAGCTACGGCGGTACTAGGGACAAGGAAGGTTTTGCGTCCTACATTAATTTCAATGAGACATTATTCGGTAAGGGTGTTACATACTTACAATTATATTTTAATAAAATTACATATATCCTTCTTTGTGATATCGTTTAATTTTTGTTCAATCAATTGTAAAATTTTTTAATTTTTTAGTGCTTTACACTTTTTGAGTAAAAACAAAAATGTCATTTATTTATACATAGTGTATTAAATGACAAGCATTAAACTTTTCTAATTATTATATTTTAGGAGTCACAAAGGAGGGACGGCTACCGCTTCATCGACCACATTAAAGAGCTTCGACTGGCCTTCACTAGGGCTAATAATAACACATATAAGGCTAAAAGTATGGCCAAAAAGATAAGAGAAGAAGTAAACGTCCCGGAGTATAACAATATATAACAATAAAACTAATTAAATAAAAATTAAAATTAAAAATAGCTTTTTTGGGAACGATAATATTTGCATTCTTGGGTAAGACTATTAGAAAACAGGTTTTGGAATCATTCTAAATCTGTTCATTCAATATTTAATATTCATTCTTGAGATGTGTAACACACTGCTTGCTTTGGAAGCAATCCAGAAAGCTTCCCGGGGAGCTTTTCGGAGCTCATTTTAATAGTGTGCTTCAGAATGCTTCCTTCTTAAAGTACAAATGAAAGGGAAAGCTGAGCGTTTCTGAAGTTGGAACTACCTCCAATGGAACGTATAAAGATTCGTAATTAGATCGGTTCTAAAAAAAAGGCTTGCTTCTTGTCCCGTCTCGAACAAAAAGGAAAGGGAGCTTTCAGGGATCTGGAATGCGTTTTTCGCATGCAAAGGAAGCGTGAAAGAACACATCCTGGAAACGTGTTATTTCAGACTGGGTCTACACTGAATTCTTTACTTGCGTTCGTGATCTTTTTTTTTGTTTTGAGCACCCTTCCCATAGAGTAAAAAATATTTAGAGACACCATTTCCTATGTCGCTCTCTTGATGCTGCTCTGCCAATGATGCCACATGGATATAAAGAGATAAAAATTTCAGTTTCTCATGGTTCGATTCGAACTTGTAATTTAGCCCCGCGGTGAGTTTCTGCAGCTGAACTTCTCGCTCTCATTGATAAGGGCTGGTGCGAGCAGTGCAGTAGCAAGTTCACCGCGAAACCGAATTGCAAGTTTAAACCATCTATGACCATAGAGTAAGAACTATATGGAGACAATTGCTCAGCCGCTCTGTCG